TTCGGTGCACTCACTTTTTTTGGTGCGTTCATTGCACCCAACTCTAAAAGTGGCTATAATACATCGAATTTGATTTTAATTGATAGCATTAGTCTGATATGATGATATAATATAAAATAAAATCACAACTAATCAATCCATTACCCTAACCCCATAACCTTCAATTTTGAATCCCAAACCAAAATCCCAAATTGTAAATCTAAACCCTAAATCCATCAAAATGAAGTAAATCTTGAATGAGTTTTTTTTTTCAAATTCATGTGTTTCTTGTTCGTAATATCATAAGCTACGATTGATACCGTTTGGGTTATAGGTATAATATGCCCCTCTACTATGACGTTCTATCAAACATGCCCCTCTATTATTTTTACATCAAACATGCCCCTGTACTTTGAAAAAATTATCAAGCATGTCCTTCTATTAAAATTTCGATTGCAAAAATCGTCAATCATGGTTGAACCGATATTTAGACGACCCAACATCGGGCAAATGGGAGGGAAAATAATAGTTTTGTCCCCCGTTTTATTCCTCTAGGTCTCTTCAAAGTGAAATTATTTGAATTATTTGGCTATACAAAATAACCAAAATAAATTCTAAAGTGAAATTATTAGGGATATGTTTTAACAAAAGGGCGGCCATGGTTAATGGTTTTTGGATGAAAATTTTAACAAAAGGGCATGTTTGATCATTTTTACAAAGTACAGGGGCATGTTTGATGTAAAAAATAGTAGAGGGGCATGTTTGATAAAATGTCATAGTAGAAGGGCATATTATACCTATAACCCATACCGTTTTGACATGAATCACATGCTCAGAATGACGATTATGAGGCGAGTTCATTGAATGCACCGAAAAAAGTGGGTGCACCCAATACGCCACCTTATATCTAATATTATATACCTCATACTTGATAATTTGCATAACCACTCAAGACAAAAGTCAAACGTTCCATCCTTTTGGATTCATTGAAAAAAATAAAGCTTATAATTGTTTCTATATTATATTAGTTCGTGTATAATATAGGGAATAACATATGATCTCCTAATTCAGATAACATTCATACATTATGTTAGACGAAAATCGAAAAAGAGAAGAATTTTTTCATATTATGATAAGTAGCAAACTAAAACAGCTCACAAACACACAATCAATCCAATACCTCATACCTTTGGTATATATCTTTGTAGCTACTTCTAATGATACTAAGATAATTATACTAGTTGCATGTACTTATGTTAAAAGTTAACTTTGAGATGATTATTATGTTTTATTTGTTATATATTTCATGGATCGGTGCATTAAGAGGATTTTTTCTAACGTAATGATAATATTATGTTATATAAGTTAACCTAATTTACCAAAGCGATTCAAATTTGGTTTGGTTAATTTGGTTGTCGTATTAACTTGGACGGTTTGGTTAAGATACTGTATTCATGGTTCATAGAATTTAGCCTTAATTGGTTTGATAGTTACCATGATAACCAATTGAACATCCCTGAATATTTGCGTGATTTTCATGCATTCATTCTCTAATTTGAAGGCTTATTTCTTGTGTATTATTAACATATATAAGCCACCATCATGTCCGATCACACAAAACAATAAATGACTAACTACAAAATTAGCTATATTTCGGAGCATAGGAATGGTTTCGACAGAAGCGAGATCTGCTCCAACATCCTTCGTTACATCTACTTAACATCCTTTTTTCATACTTTGGAACGAATCTTGAAAGTCACATAGCATAGAGGATTCATTCATGCTATTGGTAAAACACTAGATCTTGGTAGTCGAATAGTGAAATACTAAGGTCGAAATGAGACTAAGATCAGGGAGATGATGGAACGAAGTCACTCGACCGACAGAGTGAGGAATAAAGTAGAAAGCTCTTTTTTACCTTACCAATAAAAAACACTAAGATACATTTCTTAGCTCGAAAGTAGGAGGCCTTACAAATCTAGACCTTTACGTTGGAGACTTCACTTTGAAGCAAAACTTGCACATCCATGTTCTCATATTTTGGCATTGGCTTTAAACGAGATAGGGCAGGGGAAAGAAGAATTTCTAGTTTTTCGACGCAAAGGAAAACACTAAGTTTTTTCTGGAAATCTTTCCCTTAAGGACAACAACTAGGCGAACATCTTCTACTTCTAGAGCTACAGAGGCCCAGCTTTCCCGGAGTGAGAATAGCTAGAGCTTTTTCACCCTTTTGATTGGCCGTGGGTACTATTGTGAAGAAGGAATGTAGGGTAAGATATTATGTCTATAATTAGACGTTAGTTGTCCTAGATAGGTCTTGGGGAGGACCTCAACCGACTCCTCCTGAAGTATTTGATATTCCTCGCGAATAACCTGGACTGGATGCACTCCTGCTGAGCTTAAACGTTACTATTCAAGTCGACTACATAGACACTAATGATAACACTTATTTCTCATTAAACCGGGTGCGTTTGAATAAGTGTTTTAGGCCATTTTTTCACTTTTCTTTCAAATTCACTTGGTGATCTTTTGGTGATATCTCATGGCTAAGATAGGTTGGTCTAGCTAGCTAGCTAGTATTTAGAATTCATTTAAGAGATTGAATATGGTCCTACTATAATAGGTTGTAGCCACAAAGAGAGAGAGATTTCATTGCGGGGAAGGGAAGTCTTGATAATATGGTTCCTAAACTAGTCAACTTTTATTCCCACTTTATCTAGCCTCTATAAGGTGTAGAAGAGCCAATTCCTTGTTTGGGACTCATGATTTACCCATCTAGCGGACACTCTTGCTTCTCTTTGCCAAGAATTGAGAGCAAGTTAATTTGAGTAGTTCAATGAATTGTACTATTGGTTTCCTGATGCACCACTTTCTATTACCTTACTAGGACAGTTACCAAATTCATTAAGTGACCCTTTGGGAAAGGAACTCTATATCGGCGACATCTTCCTCATCAAGACTTCCTTAGCTACAAGATCCCTATTCTAAACCTAGGTGGGTTCTACCTTATCCCGATAGTTTTGGAAGTACTCATTTCTCGAGATTCCTGACTATCTATTTTGGTAAGGGAACATTCTTGTAGAGGATCACTCTTCTGCTTACTTATTTTTAGTCAGAAAAAACATTGGACATTTTTTCAAATTTGCTATTCTCGAAGTGGTCATTAGTAAGCCAAGAAAGTTATTGCCACACTAAAGAGTTCGTTCATGGTATAAGTCATGTCACTTCAATTAAGAATGCCGACTTAGGAAGAAAAGGCATCTATTGAATAAGCTTTTACTCTTGGAGAATACGTTATTTTTAGGTTTGGTTAGGGTTTCTTAATGGAATATGAATAACCTGTTATCATATGGGCGGGTTTGGTGCTATGCGAGACATGCTTGTGTCTTCGTGTTCTCCGGATTGGGGTCATGTAGAGCATTGTGCCACTGATCTTGATTTGAAGCTCGTGAGGACACAAACTTGCTGATAGAAAAACTTTTTTTCGGGTGAAGCCTTTCAGTCAATGAAGGAGGAAGTAAACTAGGCTCATTTTTTAACTAGAAAGCATACCTCAATTTCCCATAGCATTGAACTAAAAACCAGTACTATCGAAACTACCTTCAAACTAGCCTTCATCGATCAAGATCTTCACTGCTCTTCTCATATTTCATTATTGATCCAGTTTTGGTTTGCTTCGCATAGCCTACACAAGGTTGTTCTGAGATCTTTCTTTCCTAAATCCATTTATCTTTCTAGTCTAAGGTTTAAGAGTTATCCCTGTAAGGGTAGAGTTTGGAATGCTTACGAAATGGAAAAAGGGTTAGATGACTTACGAGATTTCGGATTTCGAAGTGATCACCATTCACACCACAGTTCACAGCGTCATGAAAGGTTCACACTTGCTATGAAGAGCAGTGTTATTCACAAATTGATGAGTTTTGTTTAAGGCATGGGCTCCCATCCCTCCAATCGGGCCCAAATCGAACAAAAATAGGCCCAAAATAAGTGGTTGTTTCGAGCTTTCGACATGAAGAATTCAAAAACGCGGAATAAAACAATCACACAATACAAGAGTTTTACGTGGTATCCTTGTTTGATTAGAACATGATTAATCTGCGGAGAACGCAAAAGAACTTCGACTACTGACTTGATTATTGATGAACGTAAATGGGTTTGTGGTTAACGGTTTATCGGTAACCGTACCGTTAACCGATTACCGGTTAAATCGTTAACCATATATAACGATATTCAGACGCGAGAATGGGGGAAGCGGTATATAGACATGGCTTCAGTAATTTCCCATTGGTATTTCGATAATCCGATACCGAATATGAAATGCCAGGCCAAACGTCGGCCGGGGCAGGGAAAAGTTAATCTGCTAACTTGAAGATTCGTTAGCCGATACTAACTGATATCCAAAATACATGAACTAGTATAAAGTACTAAAGTATCTAGAGAGCACAAACTAGTATTCAAAGTTTGCTAACTGATATCCACCATGAATCAACTACTCTCCCAAATTCACAAACTAATATCTAGACAACACAGAATAATATCCATATAGGACATAATTAGTATCCAGATAACACATAAAAGTATCCAGATAACATATAAGAGTATCCATATTGAATACTAGTTGGTTGATTGTGGATATTAGTTGGTATATGCTATCTGGATACTAGTTTGTGATGTTTTGGAAACTAATCGGTGCTATCTAGATACTCGACAAACTTGGATATTAGTTCATACATTTTGAATATTAGTTAGTATATACTAACGAATCTCCTAGTTAGCAGAATAACTAGGCTGCGCCTCCAATTACCCAAGTCCCCAACCCTAATTAAGTAAATAACCTAGTAATTAGTTAATATTCTATTGCTCTTCTACTTGCATCTCTCTCTCCCCTGCCTGCCGCACGACGCGCCTCCCGATCTCTCCGCTCCTTGGATCCAAACGCCGGTGACCAAAACCTGCAGTGTCTTCGTCCCCTTCATCGCTGGCGCAAGCTCGAGCCACGAAACACGACCCAACAGCCCAGTATGGTAACTCATCCTCTCCGTCGGTCTCTCTTTCCATCGGAGCTTACTCGCTTGACCCAACAGCTCAGCAGATCGTCATCTTCGCCATTTGCAGGTAATAATATTTTGATTTGTTACTTGTTTCACTGTCTGTGTGTCTGAGTTAATTGTTATAGCCGAGCAAAGGAGAGCAGCCGTGTAACAGAGAAGAAAGCAAGCTTTCACGGTTTCACCAATCAGGCAATCACCACCAAGGTCCAAAGGCACCAACCACCAATTGACTATCACTCACTTCACACAAAGATAATGGAGCAGAATGGCTAAATGGGAAATCAAAGTAGCAAACTATCCTAGTTCCCTCCCCACCAAGGTTGTCAAACCGGTTTATACCGTTGTGTCGATTTGGCAAGTGGAATGGTACGACCGGTGGTATAACCAGCTCAGGGGCGGACCCGGACACCCCTAAATTTTGGGGAAACGATTATCCAACCCCCGGTTGTAATTTACGTATTGACAAAAAAATTATAATTGATAGTCGGGGACACCCCTAAATTTAAAAAAGTGATTATCCTACTCTCATCTTTTAGTTTGAGTATGAGAATATAAGTCGTAGTTTAGGTAATTCAAACCTAGGACACTTTTATTATTAATAAACATAATTTTCATTAGGCTACAACTCATATGTTATTCGATTTTAAACACTGTGTAATAGTATAATGTCATTCTCTATCTCTAATTATTTTCAAAATCTAACAATTAAACAAATTTCAAACTACCCTTAATTTGTATTGATTTATGGTTGTACAACAAGTGTTGAAAGAGTCTTTTCAGCTTTGGATTATATCAAGAACAAGTTTAGAAATTGAATATGTGATCAGTTCGTGAATGATTGTCTAATATGATATACAGAGACAATTTTTTTTTTTGAATAGTGTAGACCCCAAGTGTGTTCTACAATCATTTTTTAATATGAAAACACATTGTGAATTTTTTTCAAACGGTATGAGTAAAGTATTTCTTATTTAAATATTATTTATTTTTTATTAATTATTTTAGAATTATTTGTATTTAATTTATTTTTTAAAAGAGGACACCCCTATGTAAAATTTCTTGGTCCGCCACTGAACCAGCTTATGCCGGTTCATGCCGGTTTAAAAAAATGTGAAAACTCTTAATATCCAATGTATTTAATCATATATAAAACATATTTGTGGACAATTTAGTTACAATCCAACAAATATAATCAACTTTTAACTATTAAATTCATAAAATGAATAATAAATTAATTTTTTTATTCATTAAAATAATGTCATTTTACTTAAAATACGTAAGTTGATCATACCGGTTATACCGATGGTGTGATGCCGGTTTCATAACCGGCACAAGTTGAACCAGATTGGTTCAACCGGGTGGCATGCCACCGGCACGACAACTATGCTCCCCACCCTTCCTGAAATAGTGTGGGCCCACAGGAAAAAGTTTCGTCCTCGCCACTTTGCGGTAAAACGGGTAACCGGCTTGTAACCGTTGTCTCGTCCCAACCGAACCAGGATCTTTGCATTCAAGAACAAGCCACCTGTCCCGGTCGACCTGATCCCTCGTCAACACACTTCCTCTTCAGCTTTTTCTTCGTCTCCACGTCACCAGGCTAAACCCTCTAAGCCTCGCAGGCACATTCGGCAGGTAACCAACGCTTCCTTCTACAACCTAGCTTATAGTTAATGAGCGAAGCTGCCGACTTCTTAGTACATTTGGAATTGTCTAGTTCTGTTTTGGAAGTTCAGCTGCTGACGGATAGATGCTTGCTTGCTTGCATTTGTGTAGACTCCAGAGAGGATATTGGATGCTCCTGACATTGTCGATGATTTCTACTTGAACTTACTGGACTGGGGCAGCAGCAATGTTGTAGCCATTTCTCTAGCAAGCACAATTTATCTATGGGATGCTTCCTGTGGGTCACCTTCAGAGCTTGTTACCATTGATGAGGAACATGGCCCTGTTACCAGCGTGAAATGGGCTCCTGATGGCCGCCATCTCGCTATTGGCTTGAACAACTCTGAAGTCCAATTGTGGGATGCAGCCTCCAATAAACAGGTTACTTTGAAGTTATTCTTTGGATTTTCTTTCTTTTTCCATGTTCTTTCCAAAAGAACTCCAGTTCTGATTTGGTCCAGTTGTTGTTATTACTTTCTTTCTACAGCTGCGAACTCTGAGAGGTGGACACAGATGTCGGGTTGGATCATTGGCATGGAACGACCACATCCTGACCACAGGTGGAATGGACAGCCTGATTATAAACAACGATGTCCGAATCCGTGACCACATAGTTGGGACCTACAGGGGGCATTCACAGGAAGTCTGTGGGCTGAAGTGGTCAGCTTCAGGACAGCGATTAGCAAGTGGGGGAAATGACGATCTCATCCACATATGGGACAGAAGAAGTTCCATGGCTGCAACTCATCAATGGCTTCACAGGATGGAGGAACACACTGCAGCAGTGAGGGCTCTGGCGTGGTGTCCATTTCAAGCCAACTTGCTTGCCTCAGGTGGAGGTGGTGGTGACATGAGCATCAAGTTCTGGAACACCATCACGGGGGCTCGATTGAACTCAGTTGACACGGGTTCCCAGGTTTGCGGCCTGTTGTGGAACAAGAACGAGAGGGAGCTTCTCAGCTCTCATGGGCTCACTGGCAACCAGCTGACTCTGTGGAAGTATCCATCCATGGTGAGGACTGCTGAACTAACTGGGCATACCTCCAGGGCGCTTTTCTTGGCTCAGAGTCCAGATGGTTGCACTGTGGCATCTGCTGCAGGGGATGAAACCCTCAGGTTCTGGAATGTGTTTGGCGATCCGGCTGAAGCTGCTCAACTAAAACCTGCCCCAAAGATAAATTCTGAGCCCTTCTCTTGGGCAAATCGAATCAGGTAGATAGATCATCACTAATCCCATTGATGTAGCCATGGCGCCTTATGCAACGAACCACATAAAAGTTTCTGTGAAAGTTCTTGGTTTCATGCTTGATTTCCAGCAAAACAGATGTAGTATTGACTGCCGTTCCCCCTGGGGACGTTTTCACTCAAGCAGTTGTCTGCAAGTTGCAACTGAAGGACATTGAATTTGAGAAAACACCAGAGGCCAACATCACAAGAATGGTATATCCCACTTGATGTTCCACTTTCCAGGAAGATTGTCCCTGCCATTTCATTGCTGCATACTTTCACTTCCCAATCCATTGAATAGCAAGCCGACTCTGATTCTTCTGCTTGGTATGGTCTCAAGGCTGGAGCTTGAAGTACCAAGTTCCAATCTTTGACAACTGGATCACCAGAGGGTCTTTGCTGATCTCCACAGAGAAATCGCTGAGGACTTCAATCCTAACTTCAGCTTTTGTGCAGCTTGATCAACATTCAAAGAGTAGAACTTCGGTTCCATGGAGTTATGGAGGAAGCTGCAGCAGCAGAAAGATGATCCACTCTCAAGTAGGAGCTTTCTCCTAGGTAACCTGTAGTCTGTTTGTAGCCGTGTGTTGTAACCTTGGCACTGAATCTGAATTCTACGCCTTTCTTTGTCTAATGTTTGAAAGTTTGTAGTTTTTCCTTCTGTTATAGGGCAGTACTCACATCATCTACGCTCGCAGATATGGAAGCCAACGATTATAAGGATGGCAGCTCAACTGCAACACATAATCAGTACCGAATTAACAATCTTACCGCATGGGACAGAGCTTTTTCTTTGACATCAGAAGAATGGCTGCCAAGGCTGCAGCTGCTAATAGGTAGATGGAAGCAGGTAACAAGAGGAGAGGAGTCGTGATAAGCCTCATTGTTCGTGTTATGTTACCTTTCGTGTTTGAGACCACCGAGAAACGGAATCAAATGCAATGAATAGTAGTTTTCATTGGTTAATAAAAGTACTTAGTAATGGTAAGTGAATTTACATTAGTTGTTGTATTATTATACTCGTAATGTGAATAACAAATGTACTTCCCATTTGGAATATGCTCATCTGCTGCTGAAGATTGGTCAAGTCATTCAAGAAAACATAGCAATCCGTGTCTAGTCAGGAAAACAAATACAATAAACAAATACTAATGCAACAGAAGCCGAACTGACATCAAAGATTTATGAGTTCAAGCCATGTCTTCTGGTTTTCAGTCTCAACAACTAAGACTCTCATCAGAAGAAACTCTTCAGATAGTCTTTCTCTCGCTATATTAACAATGGATCTTTAAAGCGAATTGAAGAAGAAAGATACATTTCATGCATTTCATGCTACAAGAATCCCGAGCCAAAACTGAAAAAGCAAAAACACAGAAGGAAGAAAAGCACTACCCTCTGATAACTAAACGATTTCAATTTTACACAAGAAACTCATAAATTCTTCTTTGAACAGAAAGAAAGGACGAAAGTAAAAATGCCTCAAGCCTTGAGGAGGGACTCAACTGCCTCGAAGAAGAGTGGAGACATTTCAGGGTTGGGAGTCTTGATTGCACACTTCACTCCCGGCATACCTATGGCTGTGGTCAGCTCGACCAAGAAAGGGATTCCACGAGGAATTTTGGTCGCAAAGTAGAAGACGTCTTGGTTTGCATGCTTTCTCTTGGCAATGAAGAACATGTTCGATGTAGCTAGACGCTCCATCATGGCATCGGCACTGTTCAACACAATGCCTGGGAAGTCCTTCAAGACTTCATTGGTGTCAGGGATGGACCTCCATGTCTGCAGAAATCCAACCAGAAAAAAATTAAATCCCAATCTTGATCCTGGTTAGATTATAATAACATGACCTTTTGTGGTGATGCTCCAAACATTCGGCTCAAGCAGGGGCCTCTTATCTTGGCTAAAACATTACTAAGTTTGGCTTATAAGCTACAAAACAGAGACACAAAATCTGTGTTTCGTGTTTATATACCTCCAGAAAGGATCCGCGTTCCATCCTGCCATCCTCGCTGAAGAAAGCATGGAACAAGATTTTGTCGTTGAAGTACCATACTTGCTGCTGATTATTCTTCACGGCAACTTGTAAGAGAGAGGTTGGAGGACCCGTGGAAATATTTTGGAACATAACCATGGGGAGGAGAGTGGTCGCTGATGTCCCAGGTTGCAATTGTGGGACCTAGAAGATCAGTAGGAAGTCATATAAGTGGCTGCTACGAGGAGATTTAGATTGCACCTTTTACTGATGAGAATGGTGAACCGAAGTACCTGCAATGGTCCACCAGCAGCAAGACCAAGTGAATTCTTGTTGAATTGGATCATGAAACCATCAAGTGGCATCTGCGTGTTGTTCTCAAACAACATGCTGTAGAAGATTTGACCATCTCTTCGTATAAGTTGTGCACTGATTTGTAAACCCTGTGCAGCTGATGCTGGTAGTACCACGGGCAAGGGGGGTCTGCAAAAGAGACATCAAGTATGGTTAAGTGTCAACACTACACCCATTACAAAAGCAGTTTCAAAGCAAGGTTATCTGGTGTGTTCGTTTTGGCCAAAAAAATTGGTAACTTAAAAAGGTTGGCTTGAAATCTAAGCAAACGCATATTCTTCAATCCAACTGTTTAAAACAGCTCTTCACCCTGATTCTCATGAATTATCTCTCTCAAAGCCACTTCATCACTGAAATTTTTTCATCTTTGAAAAATGTATTCTATTCATAAATTTAATCTTACAATAGTCATTTCCCAAACCTAAGTTTTTTTTTTTATCATTAAACAAACTATCTGCCATCCCATCATTCACTTTTTTTTTTATAACTAAGAAATGACTCATATCCATCAATTCAACTTCTCTTTTTTATAACCCACCCAGACATTTTTTTTCTCACTTTTGGTACAAGTTTTAAGAAAACATCTTTTGCTAAGCAAAAACCAAAACTGATAAAGCCATCATCTTATGAACAGCGAAGTTAGAAGGTAGAATAGTGTTTTTTTGAAAGATCTGTAAAATACTCATTTTTTACTTACCCAGAAGGAGTAGAAGGCTGGTCAACAGGGACTATAGCACTGTTTTCTAGGCCCATAAGATCACCCATCAAATCCGGGACAGGTGTGGCCTGTGGAGGGATAGCTGCTGCTGTTGTCATTTGCCTGGTTGGAACATTTCCTGCAGGTGACGCAGAACCATCGGCAATCTGGGAAGACGATGTTTCAGAATACCCGGTTTCAGCACCATCCGGGTATTCATCATCATCAGTCTTCTGTGTTGCTGTCCTCACGCGAGACACAAATGCTTCTGGTGGCTTGTGATACACAGAGGATAATGTGGCAATGTTTGCAAGAAGCTCATCAAGTAAAGAAGGATCCAGTTGGTTTGAATCATCACAGATAACAGGCTTTTCTGCTAAGACCACATCCTTAGCCGCCTGAAACATTGAAATTATACAAATTAGATGCATAGTTTTGAGGTACTCAAATATTTTGCGACAGCCTGGGGAACCAGGCATAGACGCCCAGTTGCGACCTAACCATTTATCTGCTGAAAAGATAATGGTACTAGGTACCTAGTCAAGCACATGCAGAACAACAATCTAGCAATCGATACTCCCATATACAGAGTGGAGAGGGATGGTCATCAACACCCCGAAACAGTTATCCATTGGCAAGAACAACACACCTCGGGATCAGTTGATAGCAATCGCCAATATATGTATGCACGGTCCCTTAGATCAGGATTGTCCGTCTCTACCGTGGCATTATTCAAAACAACCTGCAAAGAGGAGCAACAAACAGCATGAGCCTCAAGTACCACTATCCACTTTCTCGATTAACAGTTTAACGTAGATACCATACCAAAGTCTAGCTTTCTAATTCCACAATCAAAAGAAGTTAGGAAAGCTCTGAAAGGGATGCAAAAAGCTAAATGGTAAGCTATACAACTCTCAGAAGGCAAAGATGCATGGAATAATTGGCAAGGTGTCATCTGGGTAAGCAGAAACACGGCCCAGACAGCACTTATTTCTGGATATCATGTTGCTATTTGACCAAAGCAAGGGGGTATCATCATTCAGAGTCAGGTAGCTTCTTTTTTTCTTTTAATCTATTCAGGCTCAGGTATCAGTTTCATAAAATTCGTGCAGATGAATGGGGTTCATATATGTGACCACAACAATCTCTTATCCTCTCAGAAGAACTGAAAAATTGAATCAGGATTCCTGAGCACATGACCTGAATCATTTGCTGAGGTCCTTCAGTTGGCTTCTTGAGGAAGAGTTTGACAGTAGCAGTCAACAGCTGCAACTGCACTTGTGCAGGTTCCTCAGGAAAACTTTCCAAGAAGCTTTCTAGGAGTTCGTCAGCATTGTCGATTCTTTCAGCATATTCACCAATTATCCAGATCATTGATGCCTTGGGTAGAGGAAAAGTGAATTAGTCACACGGAAGATTAGTTGAAAATCATAAAGAAACAGAAAAATAAAGCACTGAAGTACCTTAGCTTCTGGTTCATCTAAAGTATCTAAGCTCTCACACAGTGTTGCGATGATAGATTCATATCTACAAATAGAGACAACTGTTACAAAGAGAATGAATGAAAAGAGGAAAAGTTTGAACAAACTCACGGAAAAGAACTCACGTATTTGGGTATCTTCTAAATATATCTTTGATGACAATAATAGCCTCTTGAACCACATAATTAACTTTGATCTTGATTAGTTCAAGCAGAACACTGATGCATCTCTCAGCTGCTCTCTCTAACTTAATAGCACAGCGGCCAATGGCCCGTACAGCCTTTCTTACGAAATCCACATCAACTTCTGTTGCATACTCCTTAAACTCCAATAGAACCTGTAGAATTGATCATTGAGAGAGTATCACAATCTAAACTCATAAGTAATGAATGGTTAGAGCTAAAAACTTATAAGATTGATAGTGGTATATTACTTGGTCTATGTTGCGGTCAGAAGCAAGCTTTATCATAATTTCGAGCTTCTCC